TCTGTCTGTCTGTCTCTGTGTCTGTGTCTGTGTCTGTCTCTCTGTGTGTGTGTGTGTGTCTCTGTCTGTCTCTGTGTCTGTCTCTCTCTGTGTGTGTGTGTGTGTGTCTGTGTCTGTCTCTGTGTCTGTGTCTGTGTCTGTCTCTGTCTGTGTGTGTCTGTCTCTGTCTGTGTGTGTCTGTCTCTGTCTGTCTGTGTGTGTCTGTCTGTGTCGGGGTGTCTGTGTCGGGGTGTCTGTCTGTCTGTCTGTCTGTGTCGGGGTGTGTGTCTGTCTGTCTGTCTGTGTCGGGGTGTGTGTCTGTCTGTCTGTCTGTGTCGGGGTGTGTGTCTGTGTGTCTGTCTGTCTGTGTGGGGGTGTGTGTCTGTCTGTCTGTCTGTCTGTGTCGGGGTGTGTGTCTGTCTGTCTGTGTCGGGGTGTGTGTCTGTGTCTGTCGGTGTATCTGTCTGTGTGTCTTTCTGTCTGTTTCTCTGTGAGTGTGTCTGTCTGTCTGCGTGTCTGTCTGTCTGCGTGTTAGGGCTGTGCGATTTGGGGTAAAATATCAAATTGTGATTTTTTTTTTTTTTTTACTTTTATTTCTTTTTTTAATTTTTACATTTTTTTTGGACCGGATTTGCGATTTTTAAATTTGCAAAGTCAAGCAAATTTGCATTGCTCAATATTGTCAATAATGTGCAGCACAGTATGGGTATCATTACCCTGCTGAAAAAAACTATAGAAACTATCACAGTAATTCTTATAGTTTCCATTAAACCATTACAAAATTCCTTTTTGTTTTGGGCATTATTCCAATAGGAATTACTGTTGTTCTATTGGTTGCCCTTTGTCTGAGTGTGTCTGTGTCTGAGTGTGTCTGTGTCTGAGTGTGTCTGTGTCTGAGTGTGTCTGTGTCTGAGTGTGTCTGTGTCTGAGTGTGTCTGTGTCTGAGTGTGTCTGTGTCTGTGAGTGTGTGTCTGTGAGTGTGTCTGTTTGTCTGTGAGTGTGTCTGTTTGTGTGTCTGTGTCTGTCTGTGTGTCTGTTTGTCTGTGAGTGTGTCTGTGTCTGTGTGTGTGTCTGTGTGTGTGTGTCTGTGTGTCTGTGTGTGTCTGTGAGTGTCTGTCTGTCTGTGAGTGTCTGTCTGTCTGTGAGTGTCTGTCTGTCTGTGAGTGTCTGTCTGTCTGTGAGTGTCTGTCTGTCTGTGAGTGTCTGTCTGTCTGTGAGTGTCTGTCTGTCTGTGAGTGTCTGTCTGTCTGTGAGTGTCTGTCTGTCTGTGAGTGTCTGTCTGTCTGTGAGTGTCTGTCTGTCTGTGAGTGTCTGTCTGTCTGTGAGTGTCTGTCTGTCTGTGAGTGTCTGTCTGTCTGTGAGTGTCTGTCTGTCTGTGAGTGTCTGTCTGTCTGTGAGTGTCTGTCTGTCTGTGAGTGTCTGTCTGTCTGTGAGTGTCTGTCTGTCTGTGAGTGTCTGTCTGTCTGTGAGTGTCTGTCTGTCTGTGAGTGTCTGTCTGTCTGTGAGTGTCTGTCTGTCTGTGAGTGTCTGTCTGTCTGTGAGTGTCTGTCTGTCTGTGAGTGTCTGTCTGTCTGTGAGTGTCTGTCTGTCTGTGAGTGTCTGTCTGTCTGTGAGTGTCTGTCTGTCTGTGAGTGTCTGTCTGTCTGTGAGTGTCTGTCTGTCTGTGAGTGTCTGTCTGTCTGTGAGTGTCTGTCTGTCTGTGAGTGTCTGTCTGTCTGTGAGTGTCTGTCTGTCTGTGAGTGTCTGTCTGTCTGTGAGTGTCTGTCTGTCTGTGAGTGTCTGTCTGTCTGTGAGTGTCTGTCTGTCTGTGAGTGTCTGTCTGTCTGTGAGTGTCTGTCTGTCTGTGAGTGTCTGTCTGTCTGTGAGTGTCTGTCTGTCTGTGAGTGTCTGTCTGTCTGTGAGTGTCTGTCTGTCTGTGAGTGTCTGTCTGTCTGTGAGTGTCTGTCTGTCTGTGAGTGTCTGTCTGTCTGTGAGTGTCTGTCTGTCTGTGAGTGTCTGTCTGTCTGTGAGTGTCTGTCTGTCTGTGAGTGTCTGTCTGTCTGTGAGTGTCTGTCTGTCTGTGAGTGTCTGTCTGTCTGTGAGTGTCTGTCTGTCTGTGAGTGTCTGTCTGTCTGTGAGTGTCTGTCTGTCTGTGAGTGTCTGTCTGTCTGTGAGTGTCTGTCTGTCTGTGAGTGTCTGTCTGTCTGTGAGTGTCTGTCTGTCTGTGAGTGTCTGTCTGTCTGTGAGTGTCTGTCTGTCTGTGAGTGTCTGTCTGTCTGTGAGTGTCTGTCTGTCTGTGAGTGTCTGTCTGTCTGTGAGTGTCTGTCTGTCTGTGAGTGTCTGTCTGTCTGTGAGTGTCTGTCTGTCTGTGAGTGTCTGTCTGTCTGTGAGTGTCTGTCTGTCTGTGAGTGTCTGTCTGTCTGTGAGTGTCTGTCTGTCTGTGAGTGTCTGTCTGTCTGTGAGTGTCTGTCTGTCTGTGAGTGTCTGTCTGTCTGTGAGTGTCTGTCTGTCTGTGAGTGTCTGTCTGTCTGTGAGTGTCTGTCTGTCTGTGAGTGTCTGTCTGTCTGTGAGTGTCTGTCTGTCTGTGAGTGTCTGTCTGTCTGTGAGTGTCTGTCTGTCTGTGAGTGTCTGTCTGTCTGTGAGTGTCTGTCTGTCTGTGAGTGTCTGTCTGTCTGTGAGTGTCTGTCTGTCTGTGAGTGTCTGTCTGTCTGTGAGTGTCTGTCTGTCTGTGAGTGTCTGTCTGTCTGTGAGTGTCTGTCTGTCTGTGAGTGTCTGTCTGTCTGTGAGTGTCTGTCTGTCTGTGAGTGTCTGTCTGTCTGTGAGTGTCTGTCTGTCTGTGAGTGTCTGTCTGTCTGTGAGTGTCTGTCTGTCTGTGAGTGTCTGTCTGTCTGTGAGTGTCTGTCTGTCTGTGAGTGTCTGTCTGTCTGTGAGTGTCTGTCTGTCTGTGAGTGTCTGTCTGTCTGTGAGTGTCTGTCTGTCTGTGAGTGTCTGTCTGTCTGTGAGTGTCTGTCTGTCTGTGAGTGTCTGTCTGTCTGTGAGTGTCTGTCTGTCTGTGAGTGTCTGTCTGTCTGTGAGTGTCTGTCTGTCTGTGAGTGTCTGTCTGTCTGTGAGTGTCTGTCTGTCTGTGAGTGTCTGTCTGTCTGTCTGTGTGTCTGTTTGTCTGTGAGTGTGTCTGTCTGTCTGTGAGTGTGTCTGTTTGTCTGTGAGTGTGTCTGTGTCTGTGAGTGTGTCTGTGAGTGTGTCTGTGTCTGT